CGCGTGCCTCATCGAGCTGATCTACGGCGTCTTCAAGGTACATTTCGTTGGCCTGGTCGGTATACGCCTTCTCCCTTGGCGCCCCGTATTCAAGGTCAGTGGGGAGGATAGCCTCGGCACCGTAGACCATGAAGAAGGGCGTGTGGCCGGTTGCCTAGCTATGGGTCGTTCGTAGGCTCTAGACTACCGAGGGTAGCTCCGCGACCCATCATTTGCCGTACTAGTTCAGCCAATTGAAAATCCAAGGTTTGAGGCCCTGCAAGATCAGACCGTTGGCGTGCTCGACTTGCCCGTTCGTGCGAGGGTGCGCCACGGCGGCCCAGTCGACTCGGATGTGGTGTTTGTCGCAGAAATCAAGGAATTTCTTCCTCGTGAACTGCGTCCTATTGTCGGTGATGATAGAGTTGGGGACTCCGAAGCGGTGGACGATGTTGGTGAAGAATGTCACGGCCTCTTCTGATCGAATTCTAGAGATCGACCGAGCTTCTATCCACTTGGAGAACTTATCCACGGCGACGAGGAGATGGGTGTAGCCCCCGGGCGCCCTTTTGAGGGGTCCGACCAGATCAAGCCCCCAGACTGCGAATGGCCAAGTGATGGGAATTGTCTAGAGTGCCTGGGCCGGCATGTGCATCTACCGGGAGTAAAATTAGCACCCTTCGCAGGTGCGTACGATCTACTCGGCGTCGGTCACTACCGTCGGCTAGTAGAACCCTTGCCGAAACACATTTTCGACCAGGCTACGTGGCGCGGCGTGGTGCCCACAGGTCCCGCCGTGGATATCCTTTAGCAGGCTGACCCCCTGATCGACCGGGATACAGCGTTGCAGAACCTTGGTATGACTTTTCCTGTAAAGCTCCCCACCGATGACAATGAAGGACTTGGCTCACCGTGCGAGCCATCGTGCTTCCGTTTTATCGGAGGGGAGCACTTCACAGATTAAGCAATCGAGGAATGGCATCCTCCAGTCAGCCTGGGGGTCAGGCTCGATTGCCATGTCCCCATCGGCCTGCAGAACTACGAAGGCTGTGGGGGCCAACGAGGGATCAGCCCCCGAGGGTGGTCAGTCGACTTCACGTTCCAGGGGGGTGGCGGGCTGCCGACCCCTCCTGCTTCGTCGTAACGCACCGCAGGTTGGTCTTGGTCGTTGGTGAAGACACCAGTCGGGACCGGGTCCCGGTTGGAAGCGATCTTTGCCAGAGCATCGGCTACCTCGTTGTCCCTTCGCGGGACGTGATTCAGTTCGAGGCCGTCGAACTTTTCTTCAAGTCGGCGGACCTCCCGGCAGTACGCGGTCATCTTGGGGTCGTGATAGTTTGAGTCCTTCATGACCTGGACAACAACGAGCTACGAGTCACCCCGGACTTCCAACCGATGGATGCCCAGCTCGATGGCGATACGTAGACCGTTGACAAGGGCCTCGTACTCCGCTATGTTATTGGAGGCAGGAAAATGAAGGCGGACCGCGTATTGCATACGTACACTGAGCGGCGAGACAAAGACTAGCCCTGCACTGGCGCCCTTCTTCGTTAGTGACCCGTCGAAGAACATCGTCCAGTACTCTTGGTCGACGGCCGCCGGTGGCATCTGGACCTCGGTCCATTCCGCGACGAAGTTAGCGAGCACCTGGGACTTGATAGCTGCTCGGGGGACATAAGTGATCCCCTGGTCCATTAACTCAAGCGCCCATTTGGCGATCCTTCCCGTCGCCTCGCGGTTCTGGACGACCTCGCCGACGGGAAAGGAAGATACTACCGTCACCGGATATGACCCAAAGTAGTGCCAGAGCTTCCTCTTGGTGACGAGGACCACGTACAGGAGCTTTTGAAGCTGCGTGTACCGAGTTTTAGAGTCGGAGAGGACCTCGCTGACAAAGTACATAGGGCGTTGCACTTTGAGGGTACGTCCTTGCTCTTCTCGCTCCACTACAAGGGTGGCGCTGACCACCTGGGTGGTGGCCGCTATGTAGAGCAGGAGCGGCTCCTGTCTGACCGGCGGGACCAGGACTAGGGCTGTAGATAGGAGGGCCTTGAGCTTGTCAAGCGTGTCCTGAGCCTCGGGGGTCCACTCACAGCGGTCGGCCTTTTTCAGCAACCTGTATAGGGGCAGCCCTCGCTCGCCGAGGCACGAGATGAAGCGGCTTAGCGCCGCTAGGCACCCCGTGACCCTTTGCACCCCCTTGAGGTTCTGAATCGAGCCCATTTCGGTAATGGCCGTAATTTTTGCGGGGTTAGCCTCGATGCCGCGCTCGGAGATGATGAACCCGAGCAGCATACCCCTTGGAACCCCGAAAACGCATTTCTCAGGGTTGAGTTTGATGCCGTTCTTCCTAAGCCTTTCGAAGGTCAGCTCGAGGTCGGCGATGAGGTTTTTGGTTCGCTTGGACCTAACTACGACGTCGTCTACATATGCCTCAACGGTTCGCCCGATGAGGTCACCGAAACACTTGAGCATACATCGCTGGTATGTGGCCCCAACATTTTTTCAGACCAAATGGCATGGAAACGTAGCAGTATGACCCGAATGGGGTGATGAAGGAGGTCGCGAGCTGGTTGGACTCCTTCATCGTGATCTGGTGGTAGCCGGAATACGCATCAAGGAAGCATAGGGTTTCGCACCTTGACGTTGAGTCGACTACTTGATCTATGCGTGGTAAAGGAAATGGATCCTTCGAACACGCCTTGTTAAGACTCGTGTAGTCAACACACATCCTCCATTTCCCTTTCTTTTTCCTTACAAGAACAGGATTGGACAACCACTCGGGGTGGTACACTTCCTTAATGAACCCGGCCACCAAAAGCTTCGTGACCTCCTTGCCGATGGCCCTACGCTTCTCCTCGTCGAAGCGGCGCAATCGCTGCTTCACCGGCTTGGAGCCTAGCCTGATCTACAAGGTGTGCTCGGTGACTTTCCTCGGTATGCCTGGCATGTCCAAGGGTTTCCACGCGAAGACATCTTTGTTCGCGTGGAGGAAGTCGATGAGCGCGCTTTCCTATTTCGGGGTGAGGGTGGCATCGACGCGCACCGTCCTCCCCTCCGAACCGCTTGGGTCGATAAGGATTTCCTTGGTGTCCTCGGACAGTTGGAATGATCTAGAAGCCTTCTTGGCGTCGGGCGCCTCCTCATCGTCCACTTGGTGGACAGCCGGCAGCTCCTCCAAGGCAATGACCGCTGAGGCGAATTCATAGCATTCCACCTCGCACTCGTAAGCACGCTAGACGAAAGTGCCGATGGTGATGATGCCCTTTGGCCCTGGCATCTTCAGTTTGAGGTATGTGTAGTTGGGTACCGCCATGAACTTTGCGTAGCATGGGCGCCCCAACACGGTGTGGTAGGTTCCATGGAACCCGACTACCTCAAAGGTTAGGGTATCCATCCTGAAGTTGGAAGGAGTCCCGAAGGTAACAGGCAGGTCAATCTGCTCGAGTGGTATGGCCTGCTTCCCAGGCACGATGCCATGGAAAGGCGCCCTGTTTGGCCGGATGCACAAATGGCTGATGCCCATGGCATCGAGGGTGTCGGCATAGATGATGTTGAGGTCGCTGCCCCCATCCATCAGCACCTTGGAGAGCCGCTTGGTGTCGACGATGGGATCGACCACAAGCGGGTACCGGCCTAGACGCGGCACATGTTTCGGATGGTCAGTCCGGTCGAACATGATGGGCGAGCTAGACCATTTGAGGAAGGCGGGTGTGGCTGGCTCGACGCTGTAGACCTCTCGGTGCTCGAGCTTCTACTGGCGTCTTGAGGCGTAGGAGTCGGATCATCCGAAGATCATGAGACACGCGGTCTCGGTTGGGTAGACCGCGTCCTCGCCCTCGGCGTCGTCGCCGCTGGGGTCAGGCTTCTTTGGCTCTCCCTTCTTGGAGCCCCCTGCCAAGAATTTCCTCATGAGACCGCAGTCTTTGAGGGCGTGCTTGACGGGATAGCCGTGGTTCGGGCATGGCCCCTCGAGCATTTTCTCGAAGTGGTCAGGGGTGCCCTCGGTGGGTGCCTTTCTACCCTTTCGCTCGACGGCGGCTACGAGCGAGCCCTCACGCTGCCGCTTGTTCTTCTTCTTCTTGCCGGAGGGGTTGGAGGCGCCCTTGCCGGTGTCCTCATCCTGCCTTGCCTTGCCCTTAAAGCGGTCGAAGGTCGCTCCTACCGCGTCCTCTCTGAAGGCATGACTGGTGGCGATGTCGAGGAGCTCCTTGGTGGTCCGAGGACACTTGCACCCTAGCTCGTGGACCAAAGACTCGTTGGAGGTCTCGGAAAGGAACGCGCTGATGACGTCGGCGTCAGTGATGTTAGGGAGCTCATTGCACTGCCGAGAGAAGCGTTGGATATAATCTCGGAGGGACTCTTTCGCCCTCTGGCGGTAGTTTTTGAGGTCCCAGGGATTTCCAGGGCGTGTGTAAGTGCCCTGGAAGTTTCCCACGAAGGTTTCGCGGATGTCCGCCCAGTTTTGTATGCTGTTGGGCGGGAGATGCTCCAGCCACGTACGAGCCGAGTCGGCCAGATACAGGGGGAGATTGCGAATGACGAAGTCATCATTATCCACGCCTCCGGCCTGACAGGCAAGTCGGTAGTCCTCAAGCTAGAGGCCGGGGTTCGATTCCCCGGAGTACTTGAGGACATTGGTCGGTGCATGGTACCGCTGATGGAACGGTGCACGAAGTTTGTACCACTAAATGTATTCTAATGATGCCTAATACTCTGTTTGTTTCCATTATACACAAAGGCGATTGATCTATCCAAGGACTTTAAACCAAAATTTGCAGCTGAAAGACAAAGAATAGAAGCTGCTGGACATGTGGTAACTTTTAGTGAGAGAGGAAATGTGCATCATATTGATGATGGAATTGCTAAGTTTGTCAACGAGATCCGTGTAAGACACTAGTCTTAAATAAAAGTCTATATGCATTTTTGTTTATACTGATTTATTTTTTCCTCGGAAATTATAGAATACTGTGACATTTATACTTGATGGCAATAATTATGATGTATGGGAGCAATACACCATGGTCATGGCACACATAAGGTTTTGGTTTTTGTCAAAAGGAGTGAGCATCAATCTCCGTCCAATTCTGGGGTATGACAGATTTGTCCACATAGTACCATTTGAAGGAACATTACACCTCGTCCTCAGATATGGACCAAGATCAGTAAATCTTATCATGGATGCTAGAGAAGCTTGGCTGTATGGAGCAGCAGGTGCTAATACAGTTGTCCAGTTTGAGCGTAAGAATGGTACCCCCTATATACAACATGAATATTCAATTTCACTGAATGGAGATGGCAGATACTCCCAAGTTGCCAAAAAAGGGCCCGGAGACATCCCTATCGGGATAGATGCTCTAAGAACAGTATGTTCTGTATTATCAGAAGCTGATGAAAATACTGATCTTGATGAAATTGAAGAGCAACTTGGAGTTGCGGTTGCTCACATAATGGAACCACTGAAGTTTCATAAGCCATATGAAATTGTGAGCGGGGCCATATTCTCAGGTGAAAGTACTAGTTTTGAGGAGAAAGATCCTACTGTCAGATTTCTGGTCAAGATTTGGGGAAAGGCTGGTCGACAGCTGGGAAAGTACGTTTTTGGTCACTTTTGCAATGAACCCCAGCCTTTGCACCTCAATGAAAACCTGAATGCTGGAGGCATAAAAAGCCTTGAGGATATTTTTGAAAACATATTTATTATGCCTCAAGCATTCATACCAGTGCAGTATCTTGAGAAGAAGAAACCTTCAGACATATCCTCAATGGTCAATTCGACCTGGCAACCTGTTGATCTGGGAAGAGGCGATCCCAATGTAATACCTCTTGAGAACCTGTACAGAAGAATACAGGAACAGAGAGAACAGAACATCAGAGACAACAAGTTTATTCAGGACAGGAGGAAATATTTTGGAGACAGGTTGGGTGGGAAACCCTGTGCTCAGGCCATATCATTTGTAAAGTCAGGAGCCACAAGCAGTGTGTTTTCCTGGAAAGCATCTCTGCCACTGCCAGTAAAAGGCAACCGTATCTTAAATGCTGTTCAAATAGCTAAGAAAAACTGTCGATTCTTCAAATAGAAAGGTTAGCTCTAGTTTCCATATGGCATCTGATCTTTCTGTGCATCACACTTCTCTTGAACATGGTCAGTGTTCTGCTGTTCACTTAGATGGCACAAAAGTGAATAGCAGCGCTGATGACCCTTTTTAATTGGCGCATTAGTAGATTGTCATGTATTTCAGGACCCATGTTTCTTTTTCAACTATCAACTGGCATTTGGATTTAGCTAAACAATATGTCTGCAATTATGTTTTCTGAATCTGTGATGAAAAAGAGTCTGTACAGCATATTTGGAAACTGAGAAACGATGTTTATTTTCAGAGATCCAATTAGAGGGGGATGGATATCCTCCTTCACAAGGTGGCGTCTATGGCACAAAACTGGTGATAAGTTCTCCTGCAGCTGGTAATGACGGCGATACCTGCGTTGGTGAATCGTGGTGATGTATCTGAAGTTTCATCGGTTCAGTAGTATCGGCTTCTTAGGAACTGTTCTCGTCCAGTTTGTTTTCTTTGCCTCTTTTGTTCAGGCCTGGTCTAGTAGTGGAGATTCCTAGAGTTTTTGGTTTAAAAGTTCTGTATGCTTAATGTTTGGGGTGGTATGCCACTCCTATATGCTGTAAACTGTTTAAACCGTCTTTTGGTTAATGCTAAAAGACCGTCTTTTGGTTAATGCTAAAAGACTGGGGCCTTTGGCCCTAAAACTCTAAAAAAAACTTATACAACTTTTCTCACAAGCCGATGAGTTTGGAATTCATCTCAGGTACTTCCAAGTTACCAGTATGATGATTTGAGTACTGAAAGTGCCATTGTATATTTGCATTGCAGTACAACTCGTATCTGTAGAAGATCAGAGGTGATGACTCTGGAGGCAAGAGCTTGCTTTTATACCCCTGTGTACTTATGTGCTGGTATCTGACAGAAGCTGAGGACTTTTTTTTTTGGCTTGTCTTCCCGTTGAGAAATTGTTCCGTATGCTGGATTAATATGTTCTTCAGACCTCAGTTCTTCAAAAATGCAATAAAGAAAGAAGAGCCCATAGATCTAGGAGAGCGAGAGTTGCTGTCACCTTGCAACTCGATGGCCTGACCAAGCCCTACAGTAGATAGTGTAGGCAGTAGGCACTAGCATATATATTATTTATTCACGATTTCTATCAGACCCGTTCGGCTTACCCCATATTCAGTTTATTCGGTTTGTTTTTTCAGCCGGAATAGTATTTTTCTCTCACAACAATTCAGCCAGAACAGTGTTTTTCAGCCAGTTTCAGCTAAGTTTCAGACCAGCGAACGGACCCTCTATCAAGCAACTGATTTTTTAGTCATGTTTAGGCGATGTAGCTTTACTGCTTGCTTCCTGCTTTCGCCCAACAGGCGCCAACCATTCAATTCGAATCCAACGACAAAAAAGCATCGCCCGAAGGATTGACTAATTTTCAGAACCTGTAAACCCTTATTTATTTAAATCACTAATGATGTTTAGTTATATTTAGATATAAATGCGCGCCGAATAGGCGGCCTCCCAGAGTGTCCACGTACGTTCTATTTAGTTGATTTGTTAGATAGAAATTCCACGGTTCAGATGAAGCGCGTCACAACCGGTCTTTCTCCATGCGTTCGGCAGATGGACACATTCAATGAAGTAGGGCTTCTTGGTGATTGTACGCGGCACGCAAATGGCCGGTGGCGCGTAGCAGGGACGGTGGATTCTCGGCATGCATGGTCGGTGCCTGATTAGCATGGTGGTCGGCATACATGTGAGTACGTGTGCGTGCATGCTACTAGGGCCTTGCTTTGCATGCATGCATGCATGGTCGGTGGTTGGGGTTGGCCGTGCTTCCTTGCTTTCCTCTCACAGATCCATGTATATCTACAGGACACATGCGTGAACCGTCCGATCCTCTATACCTTCGTCCTCCATGTACAGTCACCTTTCATGTATCACGGCTTCTGAAACCACCGAGCCACACCAGCCTGGCCAACCCACATCAGCCTTATCCCTCTCCCACCATATACATACACAGGGACAAAAAAAATCTCCATCCCCATCCACCCGCACCTTCCTCGCAGACTCTTCTAAATCCTCTTCTGCCTCACTCCTTCCGCCGCGCCGCTGCTCCGCCGCTCCTCCTCCTCCCACAGCGCCGCCCTTCCCCATCGCCTGTGCCCGTGCTGCGCCCGCTCTAGCTCCGCTGCTCCGCCCTTGCTGCGCCTGCGGACGACCCCCCACGCTCGGGAGGCCCAGCTTTGTCTTCGTCTTCCTCACCAACACCTGCGTCCATCCTGCCGGCGCGCCCAGGGGCCCCAGCCAATGTTTTTGAGGCGCTGCGGCGAGGCGCCGCGCCTGACCCCCTTCACAACGCCTAGGAGTTTGTGGCGGACGCCTAGGCGACGCCATACACATATTGTATACCTCGTTTGTTGCCAATTCTTGAGCCCATGTTCCTTAGGAAAAGAGCAAATTTGCACAGCTAAGGGTCAGTAACATACTAATCAAAGCAAGTGTATACTAATCAAAGAAAGACCTGTTGCTGTAGCAACTGTAAACTAATCAAAGCAAGTGTATACTAATCAAATCCATGTTGCTGTAGCAGTCCAAGCACAAGCAGACATTAGTATATGTGAGTAACACTAAAGAAAGACGGCTCAGTAATATAAAAGCAGAGCACGAGCAAGGCGCACGCAGCATGAGCAAAAGCAGAGCACGAGGCATTAAATACTACAATACTCAGAGCAGAGACGGGATACCAGGCACCAGGCAGGGTCATACCAGGCGAAGGGAACAGAGAGGAGGCAGGGGCATACCAGGCGGAACAGAGAGGAACAGAGAGAAGGCAGGGGCATACTAGGCGGACGATGGACGGCCAGCGGAGGTGGAGACACAAGATGAACGGGCAGCTGTGGACAGGCGGATGGCCGACGGAGGTGGACAGTCACGGCGGACGCACAGATGCGGATGGCCGATGCCTGCAGCGGCGGAGATGCTGGAGCGGCTCCACGGTAGGTGCGGATGACCAAGCAGAGATGCAAGGGCGGCTCCTCGGAAGGGGCGGCTGGCCGGTGGACTCGAGTTGTCGAGTAGAGGAGCAGCAAAGCGGAGCTCAAGGTCCACCCGCTGCCTTCTCTCTCCCTCTCCCCTCGCTCGCGGACAACCAAGCGGAGATGCAGGGCCGGCTCCGCGGTAGGGGTGGCTGGCCGATGGACACGAGCAGAATAGCAGCCCAGCGGAGGTCGAGGTCCGTCCACCGCCTTCTCTCTTCCTCTCCCCTCGCCCGCACTCGCGGCACTCACGGTAAATGACTCGCGCGGCGCACGCGCGGTCGATTTCCCGCGCCTCTTACTTTTCCCGCGGGCAGCGCGGTCGATTTCCCGCGGGGCCGTGCTCCTTTTGGTGCCCTTCCCCTACGACCGGCATCCGGCGTCTGCGGCGCTGTTGTAGGCGTCCACCCGACGCCATTCATGACGCCTAATACTATGAGGCGGACGCCATACACGCTGAGGTCGTGGTGACCCCGATGCTCAGGCCCTCGACCACGCCTTGTCGCCTAGGCGACGCCTCAAAAACATTGGCCCCAGCTTGGCCGGATCCTCGCGATGCCAATTACTCTCTCGTCTCCCGGGTATCTCTCGTCTTCCCCATCTCTCTCGTCGCCGCCACCGGCCTGCCAGCCCACCGATGCCGCTCCCTCCTATCTCCTCTCCCTTTCTCCTCACTCTTTATCTTCCTCTCTCCTCTCATTTTTTCCTCTTCTCAAATCCACAACCACAAAGCGGCGGCGAAGGGCGTAGGGTGGCGGGATCCTGGTGTGGGTGACGGCAGTGGTGGCGGGCGGATCCCAGTGGTGGCGGGCGGATCCCAATGGTGGCTGCTTCTAGATCCCAGCATGGGCACCTCCATTTGCGTCGCCAGGATGGGCTCAGTCGAGGGGGGCCAGATCTATGGTAGCTCGGTCGAGGGGGGGGGGGGCGGGATCTACGATAACTTGGTTGAGGCCAGCGAGATCCATGGCGTCATATCCTGCTCTGATCCGGCCGACTAGGGTTTTTGCCGTCGCGGATCTCGCTATCCACGCCATGGAGACCTCGCCTGGTAGCCCGGAGTCAAGCTCGCCGCCCAGCCCCGATCACGCGGCGACAACCCTCGTGAGGCCACGTGGAGCCGCGCTCGCTGCCCTACCCTAGGCCGTGCGGCGTTCCCCTCGCCAGATCTCAGTGCTGCTCATCGAGAGTTGCAGGTACTTCTCTGCGACTCTGTCTTCTTAGGTGTTCATCATCTGCGAGTGCAAGTGGTAATAAATTATGGTCTTCTGCTAGTGCGAGAGGTCCTCCGTCTTCTTAGATGTTCACTCCTGTGTCTTGAACTGGGAACCAGCAAGTCCTCCCTTGCGTTATTTCAATCTTGTACATCTATGTGAAGTGTTTGAATCATCTTAGAAATTGCAGTGATGAGAATATTAGTCAATGATAGTATTTGGCTGTTGATTATGATGGCTCCTTATTCCGTTATTTTCCACTTTTCTTGAACTTGACTTATCTCAAATGTGCATATCTTGCAACAGATGGTGTCGTGATCATATAATGTGCGTATCTTGGACATTTTAGAACCAATAAGTTCTTTTTGGTCTGTTCTCAGTTCATTAAAAGCTATCTACTTGTCACTAGGCCACTGAGAAAATGATTTGTGATTAGGAAAGTTTGCTCAATGAAATTAGGCTAGCCTATGCTCTCTTTTTACTAGATGACTGATTCTGGCATCTTGGCATATGCTTGCAATCCTGATATTGTGTGGGTTCCATAATTGATATATGATGGGCACTGCAAATTAATATTAATCATCTAATTTATATTGAGGAATTATTCCTGTGTTGTTTTTGTTAAAATTAGCCTCATCGTCTCTTCCTGTTAAGCAAAGACAATTCCTAAAACTGAATGTCATTGTGCAAATTAACTAAAACTGAATGTATTGTTCCTCAGAGAGAGAGAGAGTACTACATGAATATGATGTCTAATTGACAGGAAGCT